GCGCGTCGTCACGCGCGGACACGCGCGCACACGCGCCGCGGGGAGTACAGGTTCAACATGTTACATGTAAATCATAAGAGATACGAGACACTATTTAGCTAGCTATCTGAATTCGAGTGTGTGTAGGTGCCTATGAAGAGTCCGGGACGTAATTTAAATCTAAAAACTATATACAGGATACCTATGTACACGCATACGCTATTCGTTCGATTCCTTTCTTTTTCCCGTCCTTTTTTGCTCCTCTTTTTTCTTTTTCTTTTTTTTTTCCTCTCTCGCACAATCTCCGCGTCCCAATATCTAGGATAATTGGGCCACGAGCATCGTTGTTTCACTAATCTCTTCTACATACAGTACATACATTTTCCCGGATTTCCTGGCCCCGCCGAGTTTTCGATAAACATCTTCAAAGTTCCTCGTCTCTGCGCGAGAAATCGCGTTTCACGGATTCTCCGCGTCGTCGATTCGTTTCCTTTCGTCAATTTCGGCTCGGAACAACGTCTCGAAGCCGACGTCTCTCTGAATCGACGAGATTGTAACGATTCTCCTCCGATTCAGGTACTGCACGGTTGCTTCTTCGTCACACCGCCTCGTTACACGATCCACCAGCTGGCACGCCTCGTTACAACGCAGTCGTAATTTATTGTTAGGATAAAACTACAAATGGGACAACTCTCTGGTTATTAATAGTTAGCTTTATCGAATGCTCGATGAGAGCCAGGAATCTCTCGGCGCGATAACGAACCAGCTAACGTACATACGATGCAAGATCATTGGGTATAAATGCGTAATATCGTTCCCTATTTATCTAACATAATTATTCCAGCATAAATGACATTTACTTGTGACACTTTGCTTGATTGTTCTGGTCATATCACCGACAGTTCCTATCAGGCCAAACATTCTTCCCAACACCCAACGCTCCCGAAAACAACCCCTCGGCGACGCGACGTCGCGCTGTGACGATCAGGCGTCAACGAACCGGCCACCGCTTCACTGAAAATCACCGCCGTCGACGTCGCGGTGCACGGAAGAAGTCACGTCGGACGACTTCTTCTCCTTCGGCCTTTCAGCCGATTGTGAACAAGCTTCATCGGCGATGATAAATCATCGTTCACTCCGTAGAGGATCGGTGTACGTTCCGTACATACATGCAGCGAGGAAATTCGAGGTAAGGAAAAGCAGCTGACACCTCGTATCGAACGTTTCTCGAATTGTCCTGTCCTGTTTGTAACAGCGTTTATCTCGATTCTCTGTCATTCGATCGTCGATCGATCCTGTCACCGTCGTCGTGTCTTCTCGCCGATGTGTTTTTTCTCGATTTTCACGCGACGAACACGTCGACGATAATTTCTCCTTGTGTTTTTTTTCTTTCTGTGTACGTAGGTCCGCGTCTTTCGTATGGATATTCAGACGTATAAACGCGCGTTGCACACGCTGACTCGACGGCTCCGTGTTAAACGTTTGGAAAACGAAAGAAAACAACGGGGGGGAGGGGCTGAACGAAACAAGAACGGAAAGACGGAGTACGACTTGGAATTGATACGCTGACATTAGCGAAGCGACGATTGGCAGTATCACCGGCAAACCCGACTCGGCAAGAACGATTAATTAATGATTGGAAAGGAACGGAACCTTCAGTGCCTAAAAGTAACGTGTTCTCCTCTTTCTTTCTTTTCTCTTCTGCCTCTTTTTTTCTCAAGGGTGTAAGGTAATCGCTCGACTGCCCTACGATCTCTACACACACAGATCCCCTATGACATTTACGAATTACCGTAGTATTAAATTGTAAAATGTGACTACGCACTTATTACTTTTTTTTTTTTT